GCGGCGTGCTAAGACCACCGCGTATCCCTTGTCCGTAGGGTGGGTGGGTCGTCCGGGTGCACAACTACGTGGTGTTCTTAGAACGCCGCTACATCATCGACAACACAGATTTCAAGGAGAGGCTTTTAACGGCGATTATCCTTGGAATCATCGAGGAGGCACAGGTCTCGCAGGACCCGATGGTAGGGGGTGTGTTGGCCCTGTACCTTGAGTTGTCGAGGCACAGAAAAGCGGGACTGTCGACCGGGAGGGGGTGCGAACGAAGCTGAAAGACAAAGGCTAGACCTTTAGACCACACGGTCAACCGCCTGCTTAGTGGTCTCACGGGCTAGCCTTTCTAAACAAATGGCAACTTGAATACTCTTATCTGTGTCACGCGATTCCACCGCCAATATTTAGGGCAACCGGCATTACACCGGGACCTCAACAACTGCTGTAGTCCCTGTTTGTTTGTTAGTTCTTTCATTGTCCTTCTCTTGCTCGCTGCAGGACCTATTGCCCAAGGAGCAGACGAACGTAATCGACCTGGTGTCCATGCTCACGAAGGGACAAGTGAAGCGCATCAACAAGGTGGGCGGCCGCTTCAGCGTTCTCCTCGTAGCAGTTCCGGCTGCTTGACGAAGAAAATTCACAAGAGATTCTCACGCTCATGTTCTGCGGAGAGGTTGCTGGTTTCTGAGCCCCGGCGATTCATTTTTCGGATAACACTTCCAGTCGACCCCTTCCCGCCCTGCCGCCCACCCTCGCCCTCCCCACCCCCCGCCCTCCACACACAATACAGCAATCGCATCATAAATTTTGTACTTCACAGTCTTGGTGCGTCATTTGTTCCCCAACCTTTCTGGGCCACCGACCCCTGCCTTCACCCGTGCGCGAAGACATTTTAACAACATGCATCGCGGAGCATGAACGTCTGGTACAATAGGGCGTGGGTCGTGTGTGTGATCGCACGTATGCATAGTTTTGATGTCGAACAGGGACGCACGAACAAAGGTTGAAATCACACGTGATTTTGCGACCTGAAGGGCGTATGTACTTCCCATCCCTTCGTGTTTTGCCACGTGGCCCCAAGTTGATTGACGCAGCCGCATTTCCCCTGTATGTACTACCGAAATTGTGAAAGTAGAACCCGGCCCCCATTGTACTGCCCCCAGAAACGACGACCGCACGTGTCGGTGGCGTCCACCGCAACATTGTGTCCGCCTGCTGTTTGGTGTCGTGTCTGCTGTTTAGCAACTGGAGGACCTCGAGAAGGCCACGGGGTATCGGCTGAGGCTTCTCTGCCAGAAGTACCCGGAGACCCCCGGTCTCGCCGTAAAGGACTACTGGAAGGTGGGTGCGGGAGAACTTGCTGTGCGGAAGAATAGTCGCAATGTGCGGCAGAATATATGTAATCAAAAGTGTGCGGAAGAGTGGTAATGTGCGGCGGAATAATATGGTCGAATTGTGGGGAGGAACAGTCGCCATGTGCGGTAGAATAGCATGCGGCCAAAGTGTGCGGATGAACGGTCGCAACGTGCGGCAGAATATGTGCAGCCAAGGTGTGCGGAAGAATAGTCGCGATGCGCGGAAGAACATGTGTTGAGTCAAGATTGTGCAGAAGAATAGTCGCTGTGTACAGCAAAATATATGTAGCCGAAGTGTGCTGCGGCAGACGATATAGGCAGGAAAATATACGCGCCTCATGTACGGAGAAGGTTTTTGGTTTTTTGTGTTCTTGGCCTCAACCGCACACAAGTTTTGCATCGCTGCCGCCGCTGCTTCGGGGTAACGATAGCACAGAGGTCTTGGTGCGGTGAAAGCGAAGGAACGGCCATCTAAAACCAAGCGATAGATCTACCTGGTACTATCACAAGCAACGAAAACTAAGTGAAAAAGATACGACGACGGCGACGATTACAGGTGGATGACAAGACGATCGTTATGGTCGTCGACAGCGGCGATGACGACAGGAAATCAGGGGCAGGTGAGAGCCTTTTTCTAACCCTTGATAGTGCTAGAAGGGTGTTTCTGGCCAAAGTTGTCGCCTAGGACATGACGGAACGCTCCGCCCCGATCCCGGTGCTGTATGAATTGTTGTGTGAATGCTCTGATTTCTTCCGAGTTTTTCTTCTTTTGCCCGAAGGATCAAGGTAGAGCAGTATATCAACTGCCACAGTGTAGTCCCCTCGGTTTTTACCCGTGTGTTTGTTTTTTACCCGCATCCTCCGCGCGCATGACTGTGTACGGGAAGAAGGTGCGTCTTTTGCCGTGCCTTTGCGAAATATTCTCCGGCTTCAGTAACACATGCCAAAGCCCGCTGCACACCTCGTCATTAATATCTATTTATTGAAGCGTTTATTTTCGTCGCTTACTTTTTTTTATTTGTCGGCTTGGAAACGAAAATACACGTCATCCAGCTCTAAGCTGGATGAATGCATTCTCTTCTTGGTTTTGTTGCTTACTTTTTTTTTTTTCTTCTAATTATGACCCAACGAGTCCATCTCTATCGAAGAAAAAAGCCTAAGATAGATTAGCAATGAATCCATAGCGTCCGCGAAGGCTACCTGTATTCCCGTTTTAGTTTTTTCGAGCCAGACACGAGTGACGCCCGCCCTTCTCCCTGCCCTTCTTCCCCTCTGGCCGTGTCTGCTGTGCGGGCGAATTGAATCGCAGTGAATATCCTCAACTTCAACGTGGGAGACGGCTTGCGCCTGGGCCTGCCTCCCCAGTGAGTCGCGTGGGATGAACTACCGGCACAAGTTTTTCGTTAGTTCTGCAGATACAACCTTGGTGGCCTTTCGGCAAAAAGTGAACAAGAGTTCAAGATGGAGAAGGATCGGTGGGCGAGAACCCCTTTGTGGATACAACCTGGCGCCTTGTGAAAATGAAAAAATAGTTTTAGACGGACAAGAATCGGTGGCCGAATCCCTTTTTAGGGACAATCTTGCGCCTTGCGAGTGTTAAAAAGATGGACGAGGATCGGTGGGGCAATCCCTTTGTAGATGCAACCCTGGGCCCTGGGAAAATGAAACATAGTTTTAGACGGGCGAGGATCGGCGGCGCAACCCCTTTAGTGTGGATGCCTTTTTTTGTTTCTCGACCAGGTTCTGGCAGAGGTTGCAGAACAAGTACGGCAACAGGTTCTTCGTGAGGGACAACGGAGTCGACGGGGCCATCATCAGCGCGGTGGATAGCATCACCCTGTGCCTCAGGTTTGAAGAACAATCCATGCATCTGATCCGAAATCGCAACCGCGCCAGCCATGTCAATACCTTTCGTTTTCGCCTTGGGTGTGCACCATGCCCCAGCCTTTGGTAGTTGAGAGAGCTTGGGCGCAGGGAGGGAAAGCGTGCGAACCGGTTCGATTTTAGGAGGCGGCACTGCTTCCCTTCTTTTTCGTAACCGATACACACGCATGTTTCGCTCGATGCCCTTGACGCAAGAGCGTGCTTGCTAGAGGCATGGAAAACTTGGCGTGTTTCTGTGTACGGTAGCCCTCGAATCCTGAAGGAGGCGATGTCGTTGTCGTCGTTGTTGTTGTTGTTGTTGTTGTTGTTGTTGTTGTTGTCGTTGTTGTTGCTGTTGTTGTAGTTGTTGTTGTTGTTGTTGTTGTTGTTGCTGGTGTTGTCTCACGATAAGAACTGCCGCTCAGTGCCTTCTAACCTGACGCGAACCGGCACCTTCCGCTGGCACAGACCAACTGTAGATTTACGGCCGCACTACTATAGAACTTGTCAGTTCACAACTTCGTGCTCAACATCGTACCGTTTATGAGCTCGGTAAAGAACCCCTACACAAAAAAAACGAATGTGGATGCCATTTGAAGCCCACGAGGGAAACTAGGAATCCCAGCAGCCTCGGCTAACACGAGAGGTTTTCTGATGCTGGTACTATGTATGCGTAGGCGACTTATAGAAACACAACTGCGGTTGTGCCCCCCTTCTTAAGTGACCCCATTCGTACCGCCGCCTCCACTACCCCCCCTACCGTTTGAAAGGTCTGAAACCGGATTCTGCGTAGACCCTCCGGACCTGAAGAAGGTGGCGAACGACCAGGCTGTCTTGGAGAGCATCGGGAGGAGATGATGGGCCGTCGATCGCGCATATGATGGGTGTGCTTGTTCCTCCCAACAGCAGCAGCAGCGCGCACCATTAGAGAAACGGACCCGCTACCTTACTTAGCAGCGATGACGTTGCCAGGAATAGCTAGATCTAGACGGGGTGGCTACGATTGTCCATGTTTGAAAGCACGTGGTTTTCAAACCCAACGCTTCAATAGTACACAGACGTACATGACTAATTCTAAGTCCATGACCCAGAACGGGGTGTTGCTATTGTCACCACAAAACTTCTTTTGGGTGTAGCCCGAGAACTTTGAAACTATCGATAGAGCCATACATTTTTTTTTCTCTCGCTATTGTTTGTTAGATGGACGGTGCGTGTGCTTGTTCATGACTTTTGCAAGTAATTGGTGCCACCGCTCTTTTTTAACAAGGGCGGGCGAGTTTCTTCTGGCGTGAGGGCGAGAGTTGCACACGGCTGCGCTTTCTGGCGCGAGTCTTCTGTGTGCTTCTGTGTGTGCAGGTCTAGATGCAGAACGAAATGTTTTTTTCGATCTCATGGTACGATCTTCGTTTACCCCGAGAGCCGCATCATGCGGGGGGGTAGAGTGATATATGATAGAAGGGGAGCCGGTGGTGCTCTTCGAGTCACCACGCCGCATACTTCCGCCAATGAAATCATTTCGGCGAGAACGACTGGTGCAAAGAAAAGAGAGGAGACCTTCCTGTCCTGCGTCGGTCGAGAATGTCAATTGTAGAATATGATGGAATGTGATGGACAACATCCATGCCTGCGCCCCCCCCCCCCCCCCCCCCCCCCCCCCCCCCCCCCCCCCCCCCCCCCCCCCCCCCCCCCCNCCCCCCCCCCCCCCCCCCCCCCCCGCCGCCGCGGGATATCTAAACAAAACATGTGCAAGTCACGCCGAAGAGGAGAATCGCTAACGCGCTCGAATTCTCCTCGCCCTCGTCTTCACACGAAAATCGCCGCAGAAGCGCTGTCTAGATCAAAGGTAGGTGCAGCCAGTAGGAGGAGGTGGGTCGCCGAGGAAACCTAAACACGCAACACACGTCAGTCCATTCGTTTCTCCCATGGCAGTAGCACGACCTTCTCGTTCGCGTGATGGAAGGTTCCATGTACATTTATCTTGGCGGGACCGAAGGGTACCATGGGTATTCTTCATCCTCACGGGACAGAAGGGTGTCATGGATGTTTGATCTTCGCCTAACAGAAGCGTACCATAGACGTTCATCTTCGCGGGACGGAAATGGTACCGTGGAAATTCAAACCGGAACAAAAACAGTCCTCCAGCGTGTTACCGCAACGGAGAGGGCACCCGCCATCCCCGGTCCAAAGGTAGAAGCAACTACATTCGGCCGAATTCTTCCAGCTTGTTTTTGCGGAAACACGTGAAGCACACAACGAAGCACGGGAGATGCATGTAAAGCGGAGCTTTCGCGAACCTAAGACCTCCTTCACCGTGCCCGACGCACACTCGCGTAGTAACCAACAGCACTATCAATCCTCCTCACATCCGGAACTTGTCCCTCTACGCAACAACTCCAACGTGTCCCATGGATACTCCGACCCATTCCACCCCATCATCTACACACCGCCGCGAACGACCCTTCCCGCACGCGGCCCTCCTCCCTTCCCGTCCCCTTGCCCGAGCTCCTACCCCTCGCTGTCGCTGTCGCTGTACGAGCCCCCTTCTTCTCCCCCTCCTTCGTTCAGCAAGGCCTGGAGGACGGCCAGGTGCTGAGCGGGGGCGACGCCGCCGGCCCCGGACGGGATAGGCAGGGGGGGAGGAAAGCAACGCGTCCCCGGGTTCGGGACCGACGACGGCGCCGCCGCCTTGGCGGTGGTGGAACTCCCACCCCTGCTTCTGCTGCTGTTGTGAGGAAGGTACCTCGACGTGGGACACTCCGCACGACGGCCTTCTGCGGCGGTGCCCCCGCCACGGCCGGCGCTGTCATGGTCCTTCTTGCTGATGTTGCTGTCGCGTGGGCTGGTCCCGAGCGCGGGATCGCCCGGGCTGTTGCAGCCGCTACCGCCACCGCCGCCGCCGCCAGCCGTTGGACGAGAGGGCTCCCCCGCACGCCCGCCGCTCCCACCGTCGCAAGCGGCTGCGGCAACCCCGGCGCCGCCACCCCGACCCTCAGCCCTGGTCGCACCTGCCGCCGCCGCCGCCGCCGCCGCCGCCGCCGCCGCCGCCGCCGTCACCGCCGCTGCACCTGAGAGGCCTCCGACCCCTGACAAAGAGGCCTTCATGGCGGGAGTCGGGAAGGGAGCGGGAACGGGAGGGGGGGCTCCCCCCCTCCTATTGGCGCTTGGGGCGGTGCTGAGGGGAGGGCACGAGTCGACGACGGCGGGGCCCTCGTCGCCGGTGATCTTGACGTCCCAGTCCGACAGCATGGTGTCGATCTGTTTCGTGAGCGTCGATGGATGTAGCAGAGGTTTGTAGGACACGAGAGGGGGTGACGGTGAGAGAATCAAAGGACGCGGTGGTTGGAGGAGCTTTCATCTGGTCGAGGGAAAGTTACGCGTCAGTAAAGCAGATGAAGCAAAAACAGGACGAGAGGGGGGCGTCGGTGGTTGAACAACAAAGGCCCAGGTAGGCAGAGGTGGGAATCATTTATCTCGTTCCCCCTCGACATGGCACGAGATTTACTATCGTGTAGCTTCTTCTTTGTCATGCCAAGATCCACGGTTGAAGCGACGCGTACCAAACCATAACGAATACGGGTATCCGGGAAGCTCTTAAGAAGAAACACACCAACCCCCCCGCATATTCACCAACTGATGGACGTCCTCGAGAGCGTGGCTGCCCGCGCTCAGACGCTCCCAAACAACACGTACGCGTATTCGCCAAGAGCTAAAAAAAAACACGACCCCACTCTGCCTCTGTTCCCCCTCCGTCTTGACCAACTGGTGGACATCCTCAAGAGCGTAGATGTCCGTGCACAGAACGCGTTCCAAAAAACAACTTGTGCATACGCGCAAATGCGGGAAGAGACAACCAAAACCTCGACCCAACTCCGCCTCTAGATCCTCACCAACTGATGAACGTCCTGGAGAGCGTGGCTGTCGGCGCTCAGGGCTTTCACGTGCTCGCTCTTCGCTGCCGCCACCGCCGCCGCCACCGCCGCCGCCCTATCCCCGCTAGCCGCCGCCGCTGCTGCTGCAGTACCAGCACCGTTCCTGCGGCCGCCCTTGCCCCCCGCGCCGGTCTTGGACGAAGGCCTGCGGCGTTTTGCGTCCCTTAGCCTTCGGTCTAGCCGGGCGCGGCGGGTTTCCAGGTCTTGGCTTAGGATCTGGAATCGCTTCTTGGTTGCGGTGGAGGCGAGGCGCCAGAGCTCGTCGCTGGTAAGGGTTTCCTCGGCCCCCTTGGGGCGCGGG